TGCAGTCAAGACTTTTCAGCAGCTGCCTGGGCTGTGCAGGAGTTGGTCTGGGTCAAGGTAGATTCAGCTGTTGCTGTGAAGCAAAAATCTTGGCTGCTTTTTTTTCTGTTGATGCTGAATTTCAGTGTTTAACATTGTAGTTATATTTAGTCGGCTTTCAGAATATGTTACCCTTGCCAGCTGATCTAAGTAAGAAACATTAATTCTCAAAAGTTGAGCTAAAAGTAATGCATTTTGGGGCTAGAAATTAGCAGCATAACTTGGCAAAATATTACGTGTGATTTTGAAATCCCAGCGTGTTTTGTACATATCACTGCAGCCAGATTTAGCTTTGGAAGTTCTCTTTACAGCAGTCATTGTAAATGCCTCTGAACAGGTAAAATGTTTATCTCTTAAGAGAGATCACAGCATCTCCTCAGAAGTGCTGACTTTACAGCCCTTGGGGGATTACTGTAAGAGAGAAGGGAAGCAGATACATGGTGGAATTTCAGGTGGGTTCCATCCAGCGTCCTCATGAGTTCTCCATCCCCAGGCAGATGTCTGCACTGGCACCAGTGCAATCCTGGAAACAGAGTCCTCAGTTTTTGGTGCAACATCCGTTAAATGCATCTTATAATACAGCTCAGAGAGGATGTAAAATCACACATGAAAATATGAATTAAAACCTTACTAGGAATGAGTGACGTGACTCTCAAAGAGTAGGAAACAGTTACATGTGAGTTGCATCACATTCTGTGCCGTGTCAAATCAGCATCCCCAAATCTTTAATAAATATCAGGAGGATATAATTCAAAATAATGGATGTAAGCCAGTATAAGGCTGAAACTGGCATGTAAAATTGGTGTGTGCATGGACCCCAGGAGCTGCCTGATGTACATGTCCAGGACTGTCAGTCTGAGACCTCTAGAACTCTGCCCCCAGCCACTGCCACACAGGAACTTTAAAACTGGCGTGAAGACCAGCACTGGGTCAGTTTAATTGAAATGCTTTAACAAGGGAACTAGCTTTCTCACCTCTTGGCTATATTCTTGGTATTGTTCTCTGAGTTCAAGTTCCTGTGATAGCTCTTTCTTCCAGAGAATGGTCATTGGTGGGAATATAGCAAAATGTGAGGTAGTAAAAAAGGCTTTGCTGCTAAAGCTTTCTATCCTGTGGGAGCTCGACAAACACTTAAAAAGCTCCAGATAGAGGCTTTAGAGACAGATGCAGCTGGCACTGACTTTCACTGAGACCCATGTGTCTAACTGATCATAGTACCTTTGAAAATCTCCCTCTGAAAATCTCCCAGTACAGGTCACTGCATAGAAACGTTGCAGAAAAAGACAAAACCGTAGATTTACAAAAGGTGAATAATAAGTGAAAAAGGCCCAGGGACAGGTCTTTAAAGAGTTGTCAGCAGTTAAATTGAAGTGTCTTGGTGTAAAAAGGTTTGGTGCTTCAGGGTCCTACCAGCAAACACAAGTGAAAGCAGAGGAAGGTGGCTGAAGGGAAAAATGATCTGCATGCCCTTAACCAGTGAAAATCCAAAATGAGTGATGTCCTTTGAAGTTCCAGCGATCACTTGCAGTCCCACTGTCACTAAAGAGGTGGGTTAACTGGAGCAAGAAGTAAAAGGTGTGTTTATTCAGGAGCAGTCAGGAGGAATACACTGTACATAAAATGTGAAAGTCATAAGGAAGAGCCCGAGCAACACCTGAGGTGTGTGTGATGAAACCTGCCACATGTGGTAGCATCAGGATACACAGCAGTGGCAGGGCTGGCATCACACCAGCTACCCCTGACTTTTTATTTGAAGAGCAGGCAGAAGTTTCTCAGGGCAGTGTCAGGGAGCGGGTGATGCCTCGTGCTCGCCTCAGGCGACTGTTCCATGCACAGAGCCAGACATTGCTGGCAGGAGACTGTGACAGGGCTGACATTTCTCGTGCTTCATATGTTTTTCAGTTTCACCTTTCTGAGATTTTTTTTTCCAGGTTCTTCCCTAATAATGCCTCAGCTGAGAAGGTAAGGGGAGAAGTCTCTTCATTGTATACTGAGCTGTTTGAAAACTGTGAAATATTTTTGCTGCCTTCTGGTTCCTTCCTTCTTTCAGGAGCAGCTGCTCCTCCTCATCCACTTTGCACCACTTCCCATTTAACACCAAACAAAGCTTTTATGTAAAAAATACATTTTAGAAAATTAAGATGTGCTGACAAATCAAAAGCTGCAGATTGTATTCTGACCTTAGTTTCTTCAAAGATTTGGTCTCAGTCTAATGCCAAGTTTAGGGCAAATGCCATATATTTGTCTTCAGGGACTGCAGTACAAAGAAAATGTGTTTGATATGTCTAATAACAAACTTTTTAAAATAATGGTTTTTAAGACCGAAGATTCTCGTGTCTGTGATCATCTTCAAGACAGTAGGATTTCTTGCATGATTAAGTCCTCTTTTCTCTGATTGAGGGTTTCATAATAGAAAAATCCTCTTAAATAAGAAATATCATGTGAACTGGTTTTTTTTCCAAGTCGTTCCATCCAGTGAATATATGGGATAACAATTCACACTGAGCTTTTGGGGAATATGCAAATTCTGAGGGAAAACAAACCACTGAAGAGATTTTTTGCTCATTAAAATGACACTGTCTCTTCAATACCTGTAGACCTTTTTGCTTGTTGTTAAAACGATTTCTTTTACTGCTGTGTTAACATATTAGTATCATGTGAAAGCAACTGGGTGAAAAACTCAAAAACCTGTGGAAAACCATTCATAGTAACAGCAAAATAATTTCAGCCAGAATCAGTAACAGTATGAAAGCATTGCCTTTTACTGAACTGCTTTTGTGCAGTCCTCAAGGAACTGAGTTTAACTGGGCTTTGGAAAGAACTGTGTTATCATAAAGTAAACAGAGTCTTACCTGCTCAGATGAGGTGTCAAACTGCAAGACATTGTTAACATGCCTTGAGTAAATACAGTCTGCTAACAAATTGTTTCCTTTTCTGCTGCTCAGTATGCTTTTGGGGTTTTTTGCTGTAATTGGCATTAGTTTCTTATTCATAGTTAATAGAACATGTTTTGTTCAGATACCAGCTTTGTTATATATTGCTGGTTACTGAAATTCCTGCAGCTGTGCTGGTATCTTTTGAAGTGTAGAACGCCTCTTTTGTACACAGCTTTTACCTTTGGGCAAAAGGAAATCTCCCCTCCCGTTCTTTTAATGAGCAAGAGGGCAAAATAATTCCTCCAAGTCACTTGAAAGGGCAGGACAAGATTTTTCCATTGTAATCGTTCAGTGTTTTCTGAGAACAGACTTCAGTAACTGTGAGAAAATAAAGCTGCAGCTGAAAAACAAACAAAAAAAGAAACGTATGAAATCAGTTTTGAAAACCAGGTGCCGGCATGAGTCATTTTTGTACAGACACTCACACGAACTGAATCCCTAGAAAAAAATGCTTTGATGATACACCCTGAGCAACTAGAAAAGCTGACTTTACTGATAATTTTTTGCATTGGATCTTGGATGTTCAGGTTGTTACTCTCAATGTTGTGAGTAATTTTGTTGCTGGATTTGATGTGCTTAAGCATCATCTCTTTTCAGTTACCAACCATTAAAAAATATCTTTGCTATTTTGGTTATGGTAAGTAGGAGGTTTTTGGTTTTTTTACTTCAAAATTTTCAGATGCATAACTCTTTCTGCCAGCATCCAGAAACCCTTAAGATTCCTTTCTTGTATGCTGAAAGATTTTAGCCTGTGTTAATAAAGTGGTTTATGTACAAACCAAAGCAAATCTGAAGTCAGGGGACTGCATGTACAGGTAGATGTTACTCATTGTTACTCTCACTGTTCGTTTATTCGTGTATTGTACATTGTTTATGTCCAAACTGTGAACTCTCCAAGACAGGAACTGGATTGCTTTTATATTTTTGATTCTGGTTAAAACTCTGAGGATCTGATTAACAATTACTGTCCCCAGGAATTATCTCACTTACAACACAGCTGAATAATTGCTGTATTTTTGAGGTATCCTTCTTAATTTTTTGAATAATTACTGGCAGCGCTGTACAGGAGTACTGGGATATCTGTCACAGTGTTATGCCTCATGAGAGTGCAGGGACTGTGCTACCTATCTTGGGAACTGGACACAAGTAACCCTGACTGTTCGTGATTATGTTAGGGTTCAGATATATCCAGTCATTTTTATCAGAAATATATGACTTAATTTTCCTGGTGTCAGTTGTCAAGCTGTATTTCTTTTAACATAGTTACCAACTCTATTTTTAAAGTGTTACTTTGCTTCTTTGAGATTTTAGTACCAAAACTGCAATTATAATCCTTATGCCTTCATCGGGAAAGACGTCAGTAAGGTCTTGATAGAAGCTGAAATTCCACAGAATAACAGAGAACCCTCATTTGGGAGCTCTAAGCCAGCCTGAGCTGCGGGCAGGGTTCTGTACTGTGGTTTGCAGCGTTCATCTCTCCAGGGCTGCCCTCTCTCAAGAAAACCATTCAGGCGGGAGCCTCCCCCTTGCCTCCCACTGTCCCTGGGTGTGGGGAGGTCGCTCCACCCTCTTACTGACTAAAAAAAAGCTGCATTTTTACGGTGCTGAAGGTGTGAGAGGCTGCCAAGCAAACACTGCATTTCCCCCCCGGAGCGGAGCAGAGCTGAGCTGAGGGTATTTCAGCACTGCTGGTCCTGCAGGAGGAGGAAACCTGCAGCTTCCACAGCTGGGTTCTACCACAGATAAAGGCACAGCCGCAGTGGGAGGAGGCAGGAGAGGAGACGATGGGCAAAGAGGGGCAGAAGTTGCTCTGAGAAATATTCTTGCTAATCCCCACATTCACTCTGCAGCACTAAACTTTCTTCCAACGAAAACTTTTTTTCCTGGACTATTGCTGGAAAGCAGAAGCAGGGAGAGTTTGTTCACACTTCTGTTGGACACAGCAAACTTCTCCTTTTAATCCTGAATATTATTTACATATAATACATTATAATATAATATTATTTTTGCTACTGGGAGAAAAAAATGGATGCATTTAGAGCATTTGAAAATGAGTCACTCTTGCCCAGTTCCTCTGGTCCTGCCAGCTGGGATCCCTTCCGTCGTCCCTTGGACTCCATCCAGCCCTGGCACTTCAGGCTTCTGGCAGCAATAATGTTGGTGGTGACCTCCCTGTCGCTTGCTGAGAACCTGGCTGTAATCCTGGTAACTTTTAAGTTCAAGCAATTGAGGCAACCTGTCAATTATGTTGTAGTCAATTTGTCTGTGGCTGATTTCCTGGTCTCACTGACTGGTGGCACCATCAGCTTTCTAACAAATCTAAAAGGTTATTTTTATATGGGATACTGGGCTTGTGTACTGGAAGGATTTGCTGTCACATTTTTTGGTAAGCTTGGTTGTGTTTGTAGTTGTATGTTCTTTTCCTCCAACTTACTTCGATGTATTTTCCTGCAGCTCCCCAAGTCACTGCCTTTGCATGCCTTTGAATTCAGTGGTGCTTTCCCCAGATAGTCTGTACTGGAACACATGTGCAAGTGAAAAACCTCTCTCTCTCTCTGTCGTATACCTGGCCTGTCCCATGTATACTGATCATTGAATGTGTTTCATATAATGCAGAAAAGCTTGCCAATAGAATAAGAGTGTTGTGGGGTTTGTAGTAAAACAATTTCAGGAAAAAAAATCCCTATGCATAACTATTTTCAATAATTGTATTTAGGTGTGTGCATATATGGGTGAATAAGAGAGAGACAAAAAGAGTCAGTGGCTGTCCATAAACTGTGGAAAATCTCAGGGCACAGAAACCTCTTATATTCCCTACCCTGTAGTGGTTCTGAGGAGCAGAGACACACCTGTAACAGCCACTCTGCACACCTACAGCTTTTTGTGATTTATTTTTCACTCCTTTGTTCACTAACTACAAAAAAGTATTAGAAGTACTCTAAAAGGGTCATCACCATGTAGTTCCCTGTGTAAATACAGCTCTGCAGAATAAATGGGAAATAAGTTTAAAGTGGGACATCTACTTACTTGAGACAGACACTCGTTCCTGCCTCCTGCCCCTGTTTCTGAAGCTGCATAAAGACAGCCAGTAATGCTCCTCACTGCCCTAAATCCCACTCAGTGTTGATCCTCAGCCTGAAAAGGAGCCCCAAAGCTGTTCTCCACCTGTTGGATCTACACAGAGGGAATGTCAGTGAGGGACAGTGTTACCAAATCAGTTTGTGGCACGTAAGCCATGTCCTGTGGAGAAAGATGAGGCTATTTCAAGATTGTGGTGGCCAACTAGCTGATATGTGCCTAATAAACTGATAATTTGATGTTGTGGGCAGCTCTCTGTAGGTTTGAGTTTTATGACAGTCTGAAATATGACATTTTTTGCAAAGATAGCCTTTTGAAGATGTATCTTAATTGGTTCATTTGGATGGTACACATAATTTGCAGCTTTTCAGAGTAGAACCAAATGAAAAATGAAAGTCACAGTCACTTGACTGGCCCAATTAGCTGCTTGGTTTTGTAGCCGTTATACTGTAGACTGACAAACTACACAAATATGAAATTCTTATGCTCTTAGTTAATATTCAAATAAAGCACATAAGTTGCACATCCTTTCATAACTTGAGTCAATAGAAAAGGTGTCTAATGTGGTGGGGGGTCAGACACTGAAACCAGCTACCCAGAGTGGTTGTGGAATCTCCATCTCTGGAGATATTCAGAACCCAGCTGGACTTGGTCCTGCACCACCCAGTACATGGACCATGCTTGAGTGAGGAGAGGGGATGGTGACCCCCAGAGACGCCTTTCTACCCAAGCAAGTCTGTGATTCTGTCATTTGGGATGATGTTGGCACTTCAGTGAATCTGCTCAACTTTTGGTGCTGTTTTCTCGTTGCAGGCATTGTTGCTCTCTGGTCTCTGGCTCTGTTGGCCTTCGAGCGGTACATCGCGATCTGCCGCCCCTTGGGAAACCTGCGCCTGGAGGGGAGACATGCAGCCCTAGGGATTGTCTGTGTGTGGGCCTTTTCCTTCATTTGGACCATTCCACCAACGATGGGCTGGAGCAGTTACACCACCAGTAAGATTGGAACCACTTGTGAGCTTAACTGGTAAGGCCACTCTCGCACGGTGTGGTAAAGAAATGAAGCTTGCAGCTGAGGAGGCCTCGGGGGCAGGAATTTAAAGGAAAGGTTTAAACATCTCTGCAAAAAACGGATGCAAAGAAAGTTGTGATAAAACCGAGAAAAATTTTCCGTGAACGGCTTTTAAAACAAAAATTTCTAAAGGGAGGAGCTTCCAGCTCTAATGGAAATAACCACCCTATACCTTGTGCTTTTTGTCAGGAGTCAAAGATGGACAAAGAGACAGATTTTTTCAGAAGAGCGGACAAAGCCCTGAGCAAGCTGGTCTGACCCCATAGCTGGCTCCACTTGGAGCAGCAGATTGGACTACATGTCCCTTCCCACCTGATGGACCCCACAGTTCTGTGGGACTGACCTGTGGCCACAGGATCCTGTCCTAGCTTGGGGCAGGGAAATGGCCCAGGGCTCCATCTGGTGATGCAGCTAGAGTTGCAAAGGGGTACTTGGAATAAAAGCAGTTGACAAAAATATTAGAGGCAGTTTTGAAGAGCAAAATTACTACTTCAAGAAAATAGTAACACCACATATTAGTAATACATACACAATGTATTTTGTATTTTATACAGGTACTCAGGAACTTATGCTGACCATGCATACGTTATTGTGTTCTTCACCACCTGTTTTATAGTGCCTTTATTAGTGATTTTGGTATCCTACGGAAAACTGGTGCGGAAGCTAAAAAAGGTAAGAAGAAGCACTTATAAGTAAACTTTTAAAATGTTCATGTACGCAAATGTTTGGAATTTTTAAGTTTGACTTTCTATAAAGATCAGACATAAGCAGATCGGAGTTGCAGTCAGCAAACACACTCAGTTATTGTTAAATAATTATCCCTACAAACAGAAATACATGCCATGGTTAGAAGTGGTTTTTCAAAGTGTGCAGTTTGCATCACTTATTAGTCATCTATTAGTCAAACATCATACAAATGAAAGAATGTCTGCCTCATAAATAAAGAAACTGAATTACCCAGTGTTGGTTTATTCACAATTGTACTTCAATTCAGTGACATTTCTTAAGACTCAAACCAGGCAAATCAGAATGTAGCTTAAAATGACTCAGTTGTAAATTTTAAGAGTGCTGGCTACTGGCTTTTAACAATTATATGCAGTGAGATGTAGCATTTTGTAAATAATGCAGTGCTGTTTAGTAGATAAAATAATAGATTGTTCAGAAATATTTTAAAGGCTTGAGAAATGGTTTTGAATTTTATTTAATGGTTGTGTTCACCTGATTCAAAGAAGAAGCTGCAAAAAGTGAAAAAGAAGACAATAGAATAGGAAAATTCCTATCTGGAATTGGATTTTGGGACAGTATTTTAGGACAATATTAATATTTCTATTTACTGCAAAGCTGCCTTGCCTTATTGCTTCAGTAATAAATTCAGTGAATTTCTTCAGTTTACTGATGTTTTGAAAGTATTTGGGATAGTCAAATTGTATTTATTTTGAATGTTGTTCTTTCTAAGTAAAATGAAACAGAAGGGAACTTTGGGTGACACTTTGATTCTTCTGAAAGGATTTTTCTTGGTTTCCTCACGGATTCTTTCAGGGGAGAGAAGGCTGAATGGCTGGGAGAGGTTGATTTCAGAATTAAACAAAACAGGTGGGATGTGGATGGCAGGGGGGACAGCTGGTGCCTGCCAGGGAGTGGGGCCCTGAAGAGCAGGATGTGGAGATGCCTGAAGAAAATCATTGCTGAGGACTCAGGCTCTCCTAAGAGAATTTATAAAACTATGGTTCTGTTATTCTGAATATCCAGAATTTCTATTAGTATTTTATTTCACCTGTCCTGCCCTACCTGGAGAGGAAATGGGATGAAGGGGGAGCACAGGGGGCCAGCTCAATGTGGGGGAAGAGGGACAGCCCAGAGCAGCCACCTCAAGCTCCTACTCCTGCTGGGGACACAGGGCTGCCCCTGAGGACCCAGGGGGGACACAGGGCCACCTCCAGGAGGATGTTCCTGGGAGGGGAACCCATGAGGTTGCCTGGGACATTACCCCAACAGAGGGGGTGTGAAGGACAGTGAGACCACTTGCATCTAGTGCTGTCATGGGACTGCTAGAGCAGTGGCTGATCTGTTAATCAGATGCTTTAGGAGGTGCACAGAAAGGACCATTTCCTGCCTCTTAAAAGTCTGCAAGTGAAAAACAAAGCAGGTGAGATGAGGAGCAAGGGAGGCACCATCAATCACAGCAAACGTCATGAACGGCCCATTTTGCCATTTGAGTCAGGTCATGATGTCTTCTGGAAGACTGGTCAGTACCACATAGTGTGTGCCAGCATGGCCTGGAGCCACTCTGGTGTGATCTCACTGGGCTGTCTTTCTCATTCCTCTCTCTGCTGTCCAGAAAGAATAGCAGTATTATTTAAAAATCACACTTCTGGGTAAGTTGTGTGTTTCACGCTTCCCTCGCAGCTCAGTGACCTGGTGGATGGCACAGCCAGGGAACAAGGGTGCCCTCAGGGGGCCACATCACAGGTGATGTAGTTGTGACCATCTGGCTTATGCAAGTCCTGGCCTTTGGCTCTGAAAAGCCAATCCCTGCAACATAATCTGTAAATCTATAATGAATTACCATATGGCCATATCTCACAGCTAAACTCGTTTTCAAAAATCTGACTACAGTGAACAGAGAGAGGCCCAGGCACCAGAACTGGTGTCTTGGTGTTCCCAACCATCCCCTTTCCCAGATTTTGGCAGTCGTGTCCCATGGTTGCCACAATGCAGACTTGGTCCTGAGTGGCACAGTTCTGTCTTAGTGAAGTCTGCCAGTCTCTCAGTCCCGGTGACACCAGCTTTACAGAGCCAATAGTGGCTTTCACTGCAACTGCAAAGTTGATGAAAGAAATTAATTTTCAGGAAAAGATCAAATTAACAGTTTAGCACAGAGGTAAGTTGTTTTGGCAGTATGCCTTTGTTTGGAAGATAAAGCACCAGTACGTGATTCCTTATCAGTTTTTAGACAGAAAGGAAAAGCCATAGATGAGAAAAAGGCCAGGCTGACAGAGAAAGATGAAACAGCTAAAAGTGCAATCGGGGAGATTGTGTTCCTTCCCCAGGTGATTGTACTTCTGCTGAAAGGGAGGCTGGGCTGCTCTCTATGTAGGTACAGCATATATGAAAAAATGCTGTAGAAATGTCATATAGTGACAGGGCATATCTTAGGTTTGCTCAGTACTAACACAGCCTTCACTGATGCCTAAGAACTTGTACCTATCGTAACAATTCATTATTATTATTATTATTATCATTATTATTAAACATAATACATATGTATATATATTATATATATGTTATGTAACAACGACCTAAAAAACCAACATTAATTGCAATTTTCTACAGAGATGAGGGCACCCCCCTCCCCAGGAGGTGCTTCTATACCTCTAAAAGTACTAAATATGTTGAATTCTCTGAGTGCAGTTCAATGGTTATTAGGGGAAATGTCTCCATAGAGATCTAACATTACTGCAGGAAGCTAAAAGGCCATATTATGCCCAAAAAAATCTTACTTTATTGGCACATATTATTTTAAGACCTGGCATCAGTGTCTTCTAGATCCATACACAGTTATCATTGGTTACTTCCCATGTAAACTAACATAACAGTGCCTTGTTTCACTAAGTCATCAGAAACAAAACAAAGATGTTTCCCATAAAGACGTTACTTGACATCACATAATCACTGTATCAACATCTCTGCCCAGGCTGCTTGCATGATCAATGAGGGGAAGAGGGAGAGCATTCCTACTAAATGCCCCAATCCCCCTTTAATTCTGGTGTCATTAGATCATAGAGGCTGTTCTGTGAAGGCCATAAAGCACCACTGAGCCAGACAGACTCCCCTGGTGTGGCCATCCCCCAGGGTGAGGGGGTTGCACAGCCTGAGCAGTGCTGTCTGTAACACCCATATCAGTCACCTACTTGTCTGCAAAGGCTACATGGACTAGAAAGTGCTGGTATCCAGCTCACTATCTGCTCATGACTCACTGTGATGTCCTTCTTTTTCACTTTGACAATAAAAATAAAACGATACTTAAGCAGAGGAAAGTTTAGTACTGCCAGTATAGGGTAATTCCTGTCCCTGAGCAGGGACTTTGACACCCTGTGGTCAGTAACAGCCTCTTCCTGTGCTGCCACATTTGGGAAGCGCAGGTCTGTCGTCCCAGCATGGCAGGTCACTGCCCCGCTCACTAAAGTCACTGTTGGAGGCCTTGTTCTTTGTTTTTTAGAATCTTTTATCTCTTCTTTAAAGGTGTCAGAAATGCAAGGCAGGCTCAGAACTACCAGGAGACCTGAAAGACAAGTGACCAGAATGGTGGTGGTTATGATCATTGCCTTTCTGATCTGCTGGATGCCATACGCCGCCTTTTCCATCCTCATCACTGCAGACCCCTCCATCGAGCTGGATCCTTGTCTGGCAGCAATCCCAGCTTTCTTTTCCAAAACAGCTACTGTTTATAATCCAATTATTTATGTCTTTATGAACAAACAGGTACTGTATGCTCTGAAAGTGTCTTTAACACTCATATTTTGCTATTTTATCTTGCTTTATAGTGAACTATTTCTGCCTGCCTATGTGTTAGTTAACAAGCATTACAACATCCAACATTTAGAACAAAAAAAAATAATCTGCCTGCCATAAGATAGCATAAGCCTCTGTGCATTATTAAAATATGTGTTAATAATTATTAGGTTTAGATATTATAAAGGAAAATCAGCCCTTAGTGAACATCAGTTGGTTTTCTGTATGAAAATTCTGTTCTAAGACTGTCCCAGTGTATTTCAATAATTCTTCAGGAATGCAACACCAAGAAGTTGATTTTGAGGCGGGGTGGAAGTTTTCAAAGCTTGAAATTTGTTTCGGGGAAATGTTGCATTTGTGGTTGTATGTGCAGCGGGGTAGAAGCATTACATGTGCCCATGGACAGGGAGCTTTCTTCTCTGGAATGAGGGCAGAGGATCAGATGCAGATGCAGAGAAAAGGAACTGCCGTGGGGCTGGGCTGCAGTGCTGTGTGCTCAGAGTGGTAACAAGCACGATAACAAACATGCACAGATTTCTGCAGGCAATGAAGCTACTGAGAGTGGTGCCATCAAGCAGAGTATAAGCATGTAAGCGAAAAGAAGAAAAATAGTTAAGTGACTGCTGAATAGGAACTGGTGAATACATTTAATTATTCAGTCAGACAGCTATTGCTTGTCTCTCATGCTGCGGATGGCACCCTGGTCTCCCAGTGCGGGGCAGATGCTGCTCTTCCCCTGCGTGTGGATGCAAACAACAGACAGACCACCTTTGAATTGCTGGGATTTAGTGTATGAAAGCAACTCTTGAGTCTGGAGAAATGACCAGTTCTGTCCATTAGGTGTGGTTAGTTACAATCAGAAGAGGGAAATAGTTTGGGTCTTTTGAGAACATCATTAGTTCTCAGGTTTAGAGTTCTTCATGGTATCTTGGGCAAATATATTTTATAGCGTTATTTCTTTATATTCCCAACTGATTCATGAGAGAATTTCTAAGAGTTTTAGCTAACACACAGACTAATTTATAGAACTGTTTTAAAATTTCTCATGTGTTTTGATTGATCTCCTGTTTTTTCACCTTCCTAGTTCAGGAAGTGTCTGATTCAAATGTTCAGGTGCAATGCCACAGGAATTGCAGAGTCCAACGTGAACCCAACTTCAGAGAGAGCAGTGCTAACCCAGGACAGGGGAGGCAGTGAGATGTCCACCATGGCAGTTCGTAGCACCGCTTCTGAAAGGAAAATTGGAGATGAACATGGAAATTGCCAATCCTTTGCTCAGTTGGCATCTTCAGGAAACAGAATTCGTCCCATGTAGAGTGGGAGATGGGATCGTTAATGCAGTGCTACAGTGTATTTCAGCGTTACAGTCATCTACTATAAAAATGTGTTGTCACTGGGGACATTATACTCCTGTGGGCACCGGAGGTTCCAGCTCCTTCGTGCACAGAGGAGCTTCCTGGCTCTGCAGGTGCAAACGCCCACCCAGAAGGTGAGTCCCTTCCTCCTTCCTCCTCTGTGTTCCCCTTTCCAGTCCACAGCAGGCAGTGGCACCACACTGCTGTTCTCCTGTGAGGAGCAGTTGTGTCTCTGCCTCTCCCGTCCTTTAATTCCTTTTAATCGAGTTATTGATCCTGGCACAAATTATTGACTCCTCTGCTTTTGGAAACAAGGAGTACAACATAAGTACACTTTCTGTAAACAGTGAAGAAGAATGGAAATTGCCATCTTTCCATCTCAGATTAATTCACACAGTGCTGTGCAGCAATATACTTGGCTTTAGTGGAACGTCACTTGCACATGCAAAGCCAAACTAGGCTACAAGTGTAATAAAGACAGACTTCTGTGTTAAACAGCCTTTGGGATCATTGTATGAAATGTTGCTAAGAACTGGCATATCAGATTTTTAATCCTATATAAAATCTACCTTTATTGAATGCATTTTAGAAGAAAAGGCAATGGCTGACTATATTTATATACTTTAGTATGGAAAACCATTATTTCTAGAGAAGATATTAATACAATACCAATTGAAACAAATGTTACTCCGTAGTGGTATAGAGAAGCTACAGTAAATCTGTGCTGTACAGGCCTTACAATAGAAACGGGATATGGAATGAATCATCCATGGTTCAGTTTTACTTCAACAAAATCAGAATTATTCAGGGAAGAGTGTATCTGACATCCAAGACAAACATGTTACAGTAGGTACCTGCTTAGGTTACTGCTGATGTTTTTTGTTTCATCAAAGACGTAAGAATTATTCAATAAGATCTTTCTGTTGAAAGATCCTCTATAGGTAAAATGTGATCCCTGCAGGAAATGTATTTCTGTAGTGCTTTCCCTTTACCCTCTGTGGGGGCAATTTCTTTGGCCCTGCTCTTATTCCCTTTACCCAGCTCCCCACCGTGCCTCCTCTCCCAAAGGGCAGCTCTGCCTGTTTCACCCTCAGCACCCTTCACCCTGGAGGTGAAGAAACTTGACAATTCCCTTTTTTAGAGAAATTTAGTTGCAAGACACAGACAACTAACATTTTAAACACATAATTTTTAATGAGCAATTTTTATACATTGTGATCTTCCTCTTAATTCCTCCTGGACTCAAATTTATTTTGAATTTGATCCTTTTTCTATGTTCTGAGTAGAAGAATGTTCAGATTCGAATGCCCTGATTTCAGAATGGTAAGATCCAAAAGAGGTGAGTTACTCCACAAATAAAATCATGACCTGCACATGTGAGAACTCACTGCAAAAGACTCTATGGCCTTCATCTCACAAAATTTCATTAGGTGACTGTCTTTTACAGTGTCATTTTGGCAGGGCTCAATCTTAAAGCCAAACGTTGATCCTTATTCTGACAGCCACATTCTTTACCATTAATCCTGTGGCATCTAGAGCAGAAAAGTGAACATGCCTCTTTTAAATGTTTTGGAAATACTATGGGACAGGAAGGGTAAGGTGTTCAGTTATTATTGCATGCACCTTTTTGTGCTCATTAGTCTGTTAAAACAGTCAGATATGATTTGAAAGTAAAAATTCTTGCATTTAAGACTCAGATTTTCTCTTTCAAGGATATGTTGACCTAGGTTAATCACATGTTAATGGTATTGGATATATTAAATCATGAAGAATTGGCAGAAGTGCTAGTGTTTAATTAAAAGCACCAGAATTACTTTATCTCCTGAGAAGGTTAAGATATGTAAAGTACAGCTCTGTAGTACCAAATAAGGCAACAAAACTTAAGTAATGGCAGTGAAAAAACACAATGTAAAAATGCACAGAAAGCCATAGAAAATAGCAAATTACCATGAGATTCCCTGTCTGATTACTGGCTGTGTCATCCTCAGTGAGGGTCACTCAGGATGAAGTGGTACTTGTAGAACATTTCACCAAGGAAAACCTGCTTTGCATCTGTAAATTAATTGAGGACACCGGTTTGTAAAGACAGTCAAAGACACTGTCTCCAACTAACACAAGTGGGTCCCCTCCCATTAAATGCAGCAGCAGCCAGTGCAGGGTGAGCTGGGGGTCACATCACTGCCGAGCAGGGCAGGGGGACACTGACACCAGACATGAATTACTGCTCTCAAACACTATAGGGCAGGGGATTGATAGAGGACCCTCAGGGCACTGCTCACATTCCCCCACAGGGCAGACAAATAGCTTTGGCTTTTTTATAAGGGAAAGGGAGAACTACAGCACAAAAGGAACAAACCAGGAATTCTGAGAGGGAGAGAGCGTACAGAAGAAACCGAAAAGTCGTGACTCTAAGCCCTGCTTCCTTTTGCCCGGTCATAGGCAACAGCTAGAAAGACAAGGCAAGATTTTTCTCTCAGGTCCAGGGGTCTCCCATGCCCATCCAGCACTCCCCTCACAGACACCTGGGCTCCTGCAGAGATGAAAGTTCTAACAGGATTTTGTTTCCTGGACAAAACTAATTGTCATATGCCTTTATTTTCATGAGAAATAGTTTCGAGATAACCTTCAGGGACTGACTTTTAGAAAAATATTTAGAAAAACTTATTTAGAAACAGCAGCATTTTCTGAGCTGTCTGGTTATTAAAATTGGAAGATAAAAGGAAAACATGGAAGAAAACCCAAAACTATTTTCCTGTGCAGTATTAGAGGCTTCAAATTGTTCCTGTTCTCTGGATGTCGATAAAGCACTGGCACTACTTTTCTCACAGAGAATTCTTTGTTGAGGTGTTAGTTTTTTTAGTTAAAGGGAATTTTAACCACTTTCTCACTGTTTGCATTCAACTGTTCTGCTGTTATGCAGACCATTAATTAAAGGTGTAACAGCAGTATTTATACAGAAGACAAAAAGTGTTCACAGACTTCACAGTCAAAGATTTAGAGAAGCATTCTACATATCCAAAATAGCACTGAAGAAGACGATAGATAATTATGAAAAAACAAATTAAATTTGTGTTAAAGATGGTAACACTTGCACTCAGTGACAAGAATAACAACAAATGAGGATTAGTTAGAACAAAAACATGGAGACTCTTGCTTGTGAACTTCTCCGTGCACTGCAACAGGTATTGTGGACATCAAAGGTATGTGGCTGAAATAAAACAGAGGGTATGGTTTCATGAGATAAGGCAACATAGTAGTAGTGGCCAGAGGAAAAAATGAGATTAGAAGGAATAATATTAATTTTGGACATGGACAAAATATTTGTGCCAAGGTGAAACGAAGATGGTTCCCCATGTCAGAGGAGACAGTTTTACCCTTGACAAAACAGGATTGTGAGAGGAAGAAATAGTAGCAGCAGTGCCAATCACAGAAGAGATGGTCAGACTTACAGCTCTGGACACACAGCTTTGAAAATCATTGTGAAACATTCAGGAAGAGAGACTGGCTGAAACACAGGACTGGGAAGGCTGGAGATACCTTAGCAGTAGAAAGCTGGATTAGCATGCTGTTAGTGAGGGTAGTAGAAGGAATCCACAGGAGTGGAGGCACTTGCACAGGTTATGCAGGAAAGGGTGGATTGAACTTTAGAGGATGGTGAGATAAGGAGGAAGTTTCATGTCCTGAGTGACTTGCCAAGGAGCATTATCATAAGGAAATCAGTGTTTAATAGTGCGAGATGCAGTGCAGGATGTTAGGATGAGGGCTATAAGCAGTACCACAAAAACAAGTGGAAAACATAATCTGGACAACCAGGTTTACAGGTGTAAATAGACATTTGTTGGGAAGCAATTTCTCAGGGTGAAACACATGAAAGCCTGAGAGAAGAGAGTATAATCTGAGCCATAGAAGGAGAACATGGTGCCACTCACTTTGAAGAGTGTCAGATATAAGGTGATGGCTGGGGAGGGTGCAGGGAGCTCATCAGCTTCCCAGAGAGAACCACCTTTGCATTGTTCAGGGAAGGAAGCAGAGAAGGAAGAGAAACTGCATATGAGAGAAATAAGGATAAGCAGCATTCCTTCAGTCTGCCAGGAGCAGTGGGGCCAGCATGAACGTATCAATAACTTATTTCAACAGAGAAGTTCATAATTCAGTTAAATATACTGAAAATCACTTGAGCAGTACCTCAGTGGCACACAAGGGTTCATCATCTAAACCTTTGTTCCCAGTGTGAAGCTCTCTTGAAGTTTTCTGGAGAACCAGCTCATGTCTAGTTCCACATGGAGTTCAAGGCCTGACTGCCACTGTTGAGATTGGAATCATTCTCCTTTCGCACCAGCCCCTCTGGCAACTTTAATAATTATGTTTATGGTTGTCTTATATCATCTTGCCACCCTGTCAGACAAATACGGACATCCCCAAGCACAGATATGCAAATATAGGCTGCAACAGGGTGATATGAAAATTAGCAGCTCAGGACAAATAGGAAATTAATATTAGAGTCTAATTAGTCTTGATTTCATTTGGAAAAGGAATTAATTAGTCTTAATAGGACCACAGAGGCATTACAAATGTTTTCTTTCCATCGAGCAACAGCTGCATTGAACAATTAACAAATCATTCTCATAAAACACAAGGTTCCAGCAATATTTGTCACTGACCATAACACTGATGTTTTTCAGGCCCTCACAGAAGTGTTTTCTGTTAAGGGCTAATTTCATTTGGTTTATTAATATGAGAACCCCCATAACTGTGGGCAAAGGCATTTTCTTGAAGAAGGTATTTACTTTCTGCACATAAAAACAAATGGGTTTTTGTAAATGTTGATCAATTCTCCAGCATTAACAGTCTGCGTCTGTAAGAGTTCCTGTCTCTGTGAGAGGTTCTCATCTTTGATACAAACAAGGAATAATAGAATCATGAGATGTTTTCATGTTAAAATGTCTTCAGTAATGCTTTTCAGGAGGAGGGGGATACCTTCCTATTCTGCCTGTAGGTCAGAGAGTACATTTTAAAATGTGTAAACACATTGTCATAGTGGGCCAACCGAGCAGTATCAGCCTGGGCACGAAGTGCTACAGGGTTCCCAAGAGCTGATTGTTAAAGTCTTTCAATGTAACACAATAAAAAATCTTTAGATCTGCAAGCAAAAAAATGGGTGGGGGAGTGGGCTTTTTTTTCTTGGGAGTTGTGCACAGTGACTGAAGAGACACCTCTTGCATTATGCGGTATAAACATGAACATTTTACCATCTACAAAAAGTAATTTAGGCAATGGATGGTTTTAAGACCTCAAGATTTCATGACTAAAAGGTGTGAATGCTGCCAAAGTCAACTTGTACACACTTATTGTGAACTAATAAACAGTATCTTGTGTCCTTGAATTTTTGTTTTGCCACCAAGAATACATCTAGAAATCACATTCCTTTAAAAAAAAGCATTGCCTCTAGTTTGCAAAACTAGCAATGTAACACTGCACTATTCCTCTGCTTTGGGAACATTTGTTGCATTTTAATGACACAACCTGGACAAAGTACCTGCCTTTCCTATAAACCTCCCATGACACTGGGGGATAATTGCTCTGTGGTTTTGCTTAAAAATGTCAGCATTCCTTCATCAATTTACTTGTTGGTAGTGGAAATAGCTTTATATATATATATATATATATATATATATATATATATATATAAATTATGCTTGTCATAAGAGCTACCGTTGTGTTGTGAGGTCATGCTTCTTCCTTTGGGATAATGGTGAAAAAGGCACTAATGCTCAAGCCTGGCTAAATGAGTCACTGAGTGAAAACCAGAAATTATGGAAAAGGTAATAGCAATCTTAGGACCCTTGTGATGCTGGAAACCTCAGATGTTTCAGCATGGAATCACCATCTCCAGGCTCCAAAGTCTTCTGCAGTGGTACACCAGAGATGCTCTGCATTTACACTTGTGCCAGTGCTTTCTTGTGGAAAAACAAACAAATCTGTTCTCAAAGCTGTATATTCTCAAGAAAAAAAACAAAACAAAACAAAAAAACCTAAGTGGATTTTGACATGGGAAAAAAATAAAAATAGCTTTCAAAATCACTCAGAGGAGACGTTTTCTCCCAACAAATGCACTTGCAAAGGACAGGTTTTGATAGTGCAATGAGGTGACTTGTCTAAGCCTAAGTAGGTCTTAGACAAGTGTGTTCAGAGTCTCCATAACATTCCTCTACCACTATTCCAGTCTGAGTGTTCCTCCAGATATACCCAGGGCAGACAAGTTTGCTCACAGTATAACTAGAGGAATAATATGAATATTCATTGTCTAAAACCTCTTCTGTTTAATTATGACCTCAGTGAAAATGATTATCCAAGAAAACAGAGTCATGAACATTAACAATAATTCTCATCTCAATTATTGAGAAATATAATTATAAATGATTGGTGAAGAGAAGATTCCTAGAAAATTTATGATAATGTTCTTTATTATAATACTTTGTGTTATAGATTGTACTATTCTTTCTCTTTATTACATTTATATTGAAGTCTCTTTCCTTTTCTCTGTCACAAATATTTAAAAATCTGTAAGAGAATTTAAGAGCCTTTCAGCAATTTGGCACACTGGTTTTAGCTCAACTATTATCTTGCTGCATCATGATATTAATGTAGTCATCTCTCTTTAGTCTCAATGAATTGCTATAAAAATGTCAAACAATTAGATTATATTGGCCAATGCAGCCCTGTTTGATTGAGTACAGATGTAGGCCATGTCCCTTGAATCACACTGATGGAGAAGCAGAAAGGCTTGTAGAACTCCAGTGCAAATCTATTTCAATATATGTATCGCTTCGGTTCCTAATGTCAGTACTTGCAATACTAATAACCAAAAAATGCTAAATAGGTATTTTCAGATGGAATAAAAGTCAGTGTCATTCAGGAGAAACACCAATGAACTCTGCTGGAGGAGAAAAAAAAATGAAAATTATAAAACCAGCATAGAAGTCTGGTACAAACATAGATGCTGCTCCAGGGCACAGATGTGACTAAGGCAGAGGGGCAAAATGAACATTGCTTATGGGAATAGTACTGCCCAAGTCCTGTCTCTGCCTGGACCAGAAAATTTAACACTCACTTTTGTGTCAGGAAAGCAATCACTGTATAAATACTTGATAGAGATACCTGGTTACAAATGTGTCAGTGTTGCCTCTGTGCCATTCTGGTGGTCACTAGGACTGCGACCTCCCTTCTTCTTCAAGTACAAAGTGTGCAGCACTTGCATGTGCAGGCCTGGCATGGAATGAACAGCAAGGGACAAATCCTTACAGATGAAATCTCTCTCAGCCATCAGGTGTCCACACAGACCACGCGTAGTGAAAAGCTAAAGTTGTGCTGTTAGAGGTTAAAAGCTGCAAACAGCTCCTGTTCCACATATGATGAAAGTCCAGAAGGTGGGTAAGTTGTTCACATTTTGCTGCACCAGGCACACAATAGGCAAAGCATCCTGACAGTGTGTCTCCAGGGTATGAACTGCTTCAGTTGAACAAGTCTGTTTCCCACACTACCCCGGCAAATCTTGATCCCTGAGCATCTGAGCTCCTACTTGCTCTGGAGCAGCAGTGCAGGAGAAGGGCCCCTGTGATGTCAGTGATGGGATTACTGGCTAATTATCAATAAAAACAAAGGCCCAGAGAGGATCGGATGCACAGTGACAAGGTTGGAACTCTGTGGAGATCATGCTCAGTGATCTGTGCAATTTAGCTGCTGCCTCCCTGTGAGGACTAACCCACTGATTGCAGGTGCCCACCCCACACCTCAGCTGCAGCTCACTCTGTGCTCGTTCAGCTGAAATTCTGTGAGCCACTGCAAGAGTTACAAGCTCAGAGAAATTCTGAGGACATGACAGAACTGCAAATATTTTTTGAAACCCATTCTTTTCTTTCAACAGAAAATCTTAATTACTTCTCTCTGCCAGCATATTGACAGGTAATTAATAAATACCTGTCACATCAGTAGAAGAACAGACTGTTCTGGCTGCTCCTGCAATGCTGAGAACTCCAGCAGACCAGCTCATTAATACCAGAATGAAGGTCAAGATGTCTACTCTGAGCAGATTAAATGTTTTCATCACAAACTTCTCCCCCTCCATTCCTCTCCTCTTCCAGGATATTGCAGATTACAGCTCTGACTATAATTCTACAGTCACCAAGCTCAGTTTGGACTTCAGTTCTCTCACCAAGCTCACTTCAGACTTAAGAAGTTGTCCTCCTGCCATCCCCAGCAATTTTCCAAATGAATGCTCCTGTCCAACAGTATGAAACCCTTTTCTCTTACTGATGGATTGTGATCATGTCTTCATTGTGCTAATCAAAACAAATTGGGAGCACTGATTTCTCTCTTAAAATCTTGGCATTAAACAGAAAAAGAAGACAGAGAATAGCAGTGTGGACACCATTGCTGTGATATAAATATGATCTACCACCCAGTACCCGGTCAGATAATAAAACACCCATAATATATAATATTTTCACAAGAAAATCAGTACAGCTTATGGTTTTTCAAGGGAAACTACCAGCTGAAGTTTTGAAAAACTCACGTTTCGTTTGGTTTGGTTGTTTTTTTCTGCAACTCTCCCTGCAATGTATTGATGTCTTTCACAATTGACGTACTTGTGCAAAATTAAGGAAAAAACCACCCCAAGTTAAAAAGAATTTTAGATAGTAATGAATCTGATTCAGTTGACTTTGGTGTCCTTATCTGTAGCTTATCTCAGTGCACTTGTAGCATGGAAAAGTTGTTATGTCAGTTGTTGAATTGTTAAATATGGTTACGGTGGGCCCATAAGAACCAGAAGTCTGAACCACTAAGAAACTTGCTAAGAAACTTGTCTTGTGACAATAACGTTCTTTAAGCAAATTAAGTCATGAAAAAGGCCAGATAATTATAAAAAAGATTTTTAGATGCCTGTTCAGAAAGTAAAACACAAACTCTTAATTAGTGCAGCCCTAGTTCCTGGAAAAGCTGTACATCTTTGCGGGTATCTGGTTTGTCCGGACAATTTCAAATGCTAAATGTCAAGTATGAGGCCATCAAGAAAAGGGACAGGTCATGAACATTCAGTCACAGAAAGTCACAGAAAGGATGCAGTGCTCGAGCTCAGAACTGACTCTGTTTAATCTTGCCAGTTTTCACCCTCTTCTGCCATCATGTGTCAGGCTGAAGCATTTTGTGAAACAAAGGGAAAATAAATCACAAGAGTCATTCGGTCATAAAGAAGTATCTCCCCCAATGTTTCACACAGATTTGGACACTGCCACCAAACTGAAAAGCCGAGTGAAAAGAAGGAGATGTTATGTTTGGAAATTCTTGCAAAGCTATTCAAATGTATATAATGTCTACTAATGACATCTTCAATTGCTGATGGTGACACAAAACACTAAGGATTATGTTTATCGAAGATTATTGCCCTTTTAATTTCTTGTACCTTCCTGGCCCAAGATATTGGCCTTTACTTCTGAAAGGGGTCTTTATTTTGTTGCCTTCAACTGTATTGAACTCAGGATTTACAACACTCTTTTGACAGTGGAAGAATACTGTACTACTGTGTTTACAATGTTTATTTTACTATATTTAACAGTATACATACACATAATAACAGATCTCAAGATTCATATTTCAGGAAATATTATAATTGATATGTCATGCACCGGGAACACTGTTAATATTTCATACTGCATTTTTATAAAAATGGGATTAAGTGATCTAAAATTATTCCTCGTACCAGAAGTCTTAAGTAACCAACTGGAAAACTGCAATTTATTAAATATGTTGCCACTCTTTTGAAATAAAGACTACTGTGACTACTGCACCTACCGTGTTCATGAAAGATCCCACACATTCTGCTCTCAGTGGCTGAGAAACACTCTCTCATCACCTGAGGAATGACTTGGGTCTTACACAGACTAGTCAGTATGTCAGAGCACATAAGCATCCCTTCAGATTTATCTTGACCACATCCTTAAAACCTCTGTTTGTAACTATCTGTCACTGTATCCACATGGAGACACTGTAGTTGAGGCCTGAATTAACACCCGAGAGGTACTTTCAGCAGCTTTTCCTGGTAGCTTTATCTTTCATCCAAACTAAACAGAAGAAATAATTTATACTCATAGGATAGTTGGCTTCCCTTTGATATCCCATTCCTGGAGAACTTTCGGGTCAGACAGGGTGTGAAAGCAAGGGTCAGAAGGCTTAGCAGGCTGTAAAGTCACTAAATTAGTGTTCAAATGCAGATGAATGGGCTTAAATAGTCACGGGAATGATCTGTACTACAACCTCAAATCTGCTGTTATTTCCCTGCCTACAAACACCCAC